CCGGAATATAAACATACTACATGTTTCTCAGCCTCTATTATACTCACGCCCGACCTTGGGTGGGAAAAATCATTAACACCCCTAAAGTGCTGCGCAAGACGGCCAACCAAGCGCGGACCTTCATCAGCCATGCCAGCCTTGTGCGAGTGTGTGAGTCGAAACCCTAACCTAACCCTAAACCCTGAACCCTAAACCCATCCTAAGCAGGACATAAGAGTGGACCACAGCCACCTGCCACCTCAGGCTCGGTTGCGGTGGGGGCGCAGGGGGGCATCTGGTTTGCATTCCGGGGCTTCAAGAGCCTTTCAGACTCCGCTAGTGGATGTTACCATATATCATTATGTATTACGATATCATGGCACAAAAACTCTAATTATATTGTTGCATATTTTTCTTATATTGAGGTACCAGAAGGTTACGATCAGGGTTACAAGAGGGTTTCCTTAACGGTGCTGCAAGGTTACCGGCCGGTATGGAGATGTTGAGTTGATCCTTCTGTGACTACGCACTTCAGCTGGACGTGTACGTGCACTCGGGAACTCGCAGGTGCACCACACAAAGCCCCGGAAGCCTTAGGCCTAAATCCTAGACTATAGCCGAGGCAGCAACAAAAAAGCCTGCTTTGCCAGGTGGTGAGGAAAGCGAAAAAGACATTCACCCCGATGATCTGGGGAACGAAGATGCCTAAGGACTATAGCTGCCCGGCTAGAATGGGGGCGTGAATAGGGTTTACGGTTCAAGAGTACCGTGTGAATTGATATCCCCTTACAGTCCCATATGTGCCGGCATACATATTCATTTGATTCTAAGTTGCATCACATCACGTCTGTCAAGTCCTCTATACTCTTATCGAATACCAAGGCCACAAGCTCTTGTTGATATCTCCTCGCACAGATGACTCTCACACGAACATTTACAAACGTTGGAACGGTAAGTGAGACTCACACGGGGTAGGGATTCTTTTGTTGCCTCCCTCTCCCTCTCCCTCTCCCCCTCCCTCCCTCTGTCTCTCGCTCTCTCTCTCCCTCCCTCCCTCCCTCGCTCGGTCTCTCTCTCACTCTGTCTCTCTCTCTTTCTCTCTCTCTCTCTCTCTCTCCTGTCTCTCTCGCTCTCTCTCTCTCTCTCTCTCTCGCGCTTCTTCCTGCGCACATACATATAAATATACACATACATACATACATGCATACATACATACATACCTACCCACGGCCGCCGTACATGTACAATGTGTGTACATATACATATAAACATGTATGGGTAGATCGGTATCGTTGTGTTCTTCTTGCACTGTCTCCGACGCTTACTTTGTCGGCACGTGTGTATGTGTGTGTGTGTATATGTATATATATATATGTATATATATATATACGTGTATGTCTGTACATATGCATGTACGCATACCTGCCTACCTACCTATCTACCTACCTACCTACCTTCCTACCTTCCTTCCTACCTACGTACGTACGTGCGTACGTACGTACGTACGTACACACACACACACACGCGCACTTGTCCGACCAATTTTCGGATCGCTAAGGCTTCTTTCATTTGGGAGGCGAGTACATCATGGGCTGCTTGGCAGACGGGTTGTCACCTCTGGTGGTTTTTTGTGATGCATGTTCGGCGCAGGGGAAGGAATGTTTCATGTCTGATAAGCTGCCGAAGGTTTCTTGACCCACCAATCCAGCTGCTGTTGCTGTACGGTGTCTCTTTAAGCCGTCTTTTGAAGCCGACCGATCAACTCTCCGTCTTCTGCCTGAGCCCGATTTCGGACAGCATGACTGCAGTCAGCAGTGGGGGCTTACCTGCGAAGTGCTCCGAAGGTTATAATGAGCCGGACCAGTGCCCTTGCAAATTTTCCGGATTGCCTGGAAGCTGCTAAACACACTAAGTAGGTCGAGGCTCACTGCTTATGTCTGGGGGCATCGTTTCTACGCGAAATGTCGATGTCGGTCAGCTCGTGGGTTCTGCTGGTTTCCTGTCGCATGTTGCGTAAATGGGAACTCACGTCGCCGCCGGATGCCCAAATCTGCAAGCATCGTCCTGAAGAGTCATTGTGGAATGGATACTATGAGTCACAAGCCACCCTGTAGGAACGAGTCCCGTCTGGCGTCCTGCCAAACATACATCAACATACATTGCGGACCAAAGCCTGAGGTCAGAGCATGATCTCGCTGGGCGTCCTTTATTCGTTTAGATAGGTGCCGTTCGTTGGTCGTCATGACGTCGCTTTGAGCAGGTACGGCCCTGCCTGCGCTGGGGAGACAACCGCAGGGACCTTCGGCTGTGGCCACCCGACCTGCAAGTGAGATCTTTCGAGCTTTGATCGAAGACATTCGCCATTGGTCTGGAGTTGCCTGATATCATAGGGCTATGGCTTCGGCGGTTGAGCTGCCACAGTCAGGTGTCAAGCATCGAACCAGCCAGCATCTAAGGTGAGAAAGAGTATAGACCAGCGACCAGCCCGGGGCTCACCGATTTCTTTTGTGCGAAGGCTTCAGCAAGAATCACGAGCACTCCCATTTCCTCCTCCCATCGCAGCATCGTGAGGTGCCGGTTTCGCCTCCCTCTTTGACCCCGTGAAAGCTGCTACGGCCTGGCAGATTTTGGTGCAGCTTGCATGCACTCTTGATCATTGGAGCTGACGGTGTCGGTTCCCTGAAAAGACAGGGAACGGCATGGATCTATATAGGATGCACAGTCGCGAAACCCGAAACCTTCGACCCTGGCCCAACGGAGAATACGAAAATGATCTCGGGCAGACAGGGTGATTGAACTTCTGAATCAAATGGCGGAGCCATGTAGGGGTCACCCTTTCCCCCGATCTCCCCCCTCCCCCGAAGCCAAATCAAGACAACATCAGCGCCTAGGACCAAGCTGGCGAGTGCTTCGGCCTCAGATCACAAATCAGAGATGACGATTCTGGGGGCTCAAGACAATGGAGGCGCAGCTCCAACTACTCTTAGGGGAAGTACATTCTCGCCTGCTGCAAGACAGTGGTGGTGTTGGCATGGATAAGAGTTCTGACTGTCCAAGCTTGTGGACACTGGACACAATCCGACGATTCGGCTGCATGCAGAAACTCCGCACAAGGTCGCCAAAGAAAGCGGAGGACCCATGCAGTTTGAGTGTATGATTCTACTTTCTGACCCTGTGCATGTTGTTCCGGCAGTCAGTTGTGAGTTACTGCCCCCTTCAGGAATCGCAGAAAAAGCTGAAAGCACAGACCAGCCAAAACCATGGGCGCTGAACCTGAAGAAGCCCCCCTCCTACGTCCTAAGTCCTACATCCTCAGGTCCTACGAAAGCTCAAACCCCAAAGTCTTGAAGTATATGCTGCCTTGCGAGCCATTCCTGGCGCAGCTGCGAAACACTATGCCACTATGCTCCACGATGTTATCTTTCACAAGTGTTAGACATTATCTTTTACATCATCTTAGGCATGTGTTATAGTATACATCATATTATAAGCCTTATATTGTACATATGATAAGCCATCACAGCGCCAGGATCCGTGCGCAAGATTGCTGCGCCGGCTATGGCTCAGGCTTCGGCCTCAATGTGGTTCTCACCATGGTGATTGACTATAAACACCAGGTAGGTCTTTGGGACATGTTCATATCTTCCTTTTTTTGGGCCAAGGAGGAACTTATTTACGAAGATGGTTCTAAGGCTTCAACCTGGAAAAAGGTAGGTTTAGATGGCAAGGTTCTAGCAGTCGTTGGAAGCGAATGTCAGTGTGTAGCAGCTGGCACATCGAAGAGCCATTCGACATTGGACCCAACAAGCACATCATTCGTGACCATAAGGCAGCCCAGCCGGAAGACGACTGCAGCCGAGATCCGGTGTCTGGGAGCATTTGGCAGTTTGCACAGCTGTTTTCCAGGTCATCCCGAACGCACTGGTACCAGAAAATGAGGCTGCTGTTGGATGTCCAAGTGTGTTGGCCTTGTGTTGCACAAAGCGCACGGCTGCATCATGCCGGTGGGCTCCATCACGACGTTTGCATAAGCAGCTTTTGGTAGACCCATTTGCCATGCCGTGTGGCCACCAGGAGAATGGTTGACCATTCATGCCAATGCCCACAACACCACAACGCATCGCAAGTCTTGAGCTATTCCCATCATGGCTGAGTGATTGCCGCACCGCTCCGTCTAAGGTGCTTCCAAATGCCACAAAGTATTGCCGTGGCTGGCTCAAGGCCTTCAAAGCCAAAGCTTTGAGTCTCGGGCATTTCCGTTACACTGCTGCCGTTTTGAAATTTTGCCATTGTATAGGGGCCTTCAGAATTCGACTCGGTTTTGGGGGGCAAGTGAAAGGTGATGAATCCAATGTAAGAAACCCCCATCGAATAAGCACAATCGCCGCAGCCCTGCACTCAAACCCTAAACCGCTGACCCTTCAAGATACGAAAACTCTAGCCGCATGACCTAAGGACGCTGCAATGTACCAGCCTCCATGGGCGGTTGACGAACTGCTGGGTCGCCCTTCTTGACTTTCTAAGGGGTTTTTGGGGTTCAGGGAGTTCAGGGTTTCGGTCGGAGGGTCTTTCGGGTCAGTAGGCTGAGGATGCTTCAGGATCTGCACGACTCTTGAAGGCTTCTGTAGACGTGAGCGCTCGCAAAACCAGACTCTGCGTTCTGGTTCAGGATTTGGTTTGCTTAAGTTACCATCATGAGGATCTACAGTATTTACTATGGTTTCCTTATCACGCCAACTTGAATGGAATCTCTCAGAAAGAACTCAGCACTGGTTGGCGTTTTTCCCGCGAGATGAGCATGTTAGGCTCATGCCTTCCGAGGTGGTCCTGAAATGGTATGTCATACTGTAGTATACTAGTATTAGCATATGTATCAGTGTGAGACATAGTAAATAGTGTAGTAGTTTTAGTTAGTTTTAGTATTCGTAAAGTACGTGCTGTGCAGTTCGAAGCGTGATGCTGCTATTTTTCCGTTGGGGGACTTGTGCTGACATAAATTAGTCTTCGTGATGACTCGCGAAATGCCGGTGGCAAATGGTTGCACTCAGCCAATCCTCCGACGACTTTCTGTATTGATACGAATCTTTGCTCAGGATGTTATTGAAGCGCTGCCCATCCACGCCTATGGCAGACGCTTTGACCTTGCAGAACTTGGCCTCTTCTCTTGGTCTCAGCTGACATTCGCAAGTGTAAGGCTGACGCGAATTGAGGGTTTCGGGGGCTGGCTCGCAAAATGGGATCCCATCTGGCAGTCTGAGGATCCGCGCAAGAGATTAAGGACAAGCTCCATGACTACCACAAGGCTCGGAAGCTCGGGCAACGAGATATGTCTTCTCTCGGTGCCGTCTGTGGAAATCTAGAGTGGCAGTATGGTTATTATTCTTTGTGCAAGCACGCCCTGCCACGGAGGCATAAATATACATACCCACGTCCCCAGAATTCCTTGCAAGACTGGGATGACAGCCTCAGCAGCGTGTGACAGTTTTCTCGGGACCCAGGCGACTCATGCGACAAGTCCCCTGACGCCTTAAGGGCCTGCCTTCTTACGCCATGCAGGGCCGAGACTGCTTTTTCTGCTTCTTGCCATTAGCAAAAACGTCAGGGTTCGCTGATTCAGGGCTTGGGACTGCGCCAGGTCTTCCTGGAGGATTTCCAAGGCACCTCCGGCAGGACGAAGAAGACGCTTTGGCTTACCGAGGCCCAGGAAAGCCGTGCTATCCCCTAAGGCTCCATGTACCTACACAGAATATACTTATAGGCCTTAGGGTACCTGTATAGGAGCCCCTTCAAGGTCCAGGTATCTAATTACTAGATAGGCACATGGAGCCACACTGTAGGGGTCATCATCAGGTCTGCTTTGCTTTATTGGGGCCCCCACACTAATCACGAATGAACATCAGGAAGTCTCGGTCAACACAAGCATCTCGCACCGTCGCGGTTCTCACCGTTGAAGCTTGTCATGCCGACTTACCTTGTTGTAGCGAGAACCCAAGTCTTCTTTGGCTTCGAGAAGTGGAGAACGGCTGATACGCATAATGCGAGCCACTATAAGTTTCAATCACAAGCTTTCTTTGCCCCCTTTACGCAAGCATTCGCAGATGAGATTCCAGTCACGGAAATCCTTCAAGGGAATTCGGCCTTTAAGGGCTTGGGTTCCGGGCCCTTTGGCATCATGCCGTCTTCCAAACCCTCACAGGTGACCATGGGCACGAACGAGGCCGAGGATCTCGTTACATTCGTCGATGACCTGATGATGCCCGTCCGCACATGGCCGCGGGGAAGTACACAATGCATCCCAAGATGTGCTTCATGGGCTTTTGAGCATGGGTGGGCTTCACCTGAGGAACCCGACTACGGGCCTTCAGAATCGACAGCTTTTCGGATTTGTGGAGCGGATCAGCTGGCACTTTGTCTGCACAGGAGACGCCCTCTGACATGTGCACGATTTTGGGGCAGAGCCGGTGGCAAGTATCACTGCTCTGTGCCCATGCATATGTTAAAGCCTTGGGCCGTTTCTGCGTACGTCAGAAGCACTCGACAGCTGAGCATGTACAGCTGTGTTGAAGATCGGGCTTAAAACATTTGCTGAGGTGTCGGTTTCTTGCATCTTCAAAGTCGAGCTTGTTTACACACAGCTTGTATACTTGGCTGTCTCGTGGCTTTTCTCCGGCCGGGCTCTCTTTGTCTTTTGTTGTTTATTCTTCGGCTCTCTGCCGCTGCTCTCAGCCCAGTCTCGTGTTATTGGACGGGTGAAGCAAGGCTGACAGTAAATAAATGCGGTCCTGCGTCGCCGCGTCAGTGGCCCTCCCCTCATGGCATGCCCCCCCAGCCTCCCACAGCAGCCAAGCCAGGCCTCTCATCCGAGCAAACAGTCACGGGAATGGTGCTCGTCCGCGTCATCATCCTCGTGACTGTCAACGTTCTTTGGGAACTCTCGCGCAGAATCGCGCAACTCCTGCCCTCCCACACAGATGAGACTGATGGCGATGATACAATGACGCTGATGTGCTTCTTGCATGCTGGCATTCCGAGTGTGACTGTTGCTAGGGCCACTGCTCTTATGCTGTTCTGCCCTAAGTACCGCATGTTCTTTGCTTATATTGCTTCAAGGCTTGTTTGGCTTGATGTTCTTTCGTAGATTTTCGTAGTTTGTACCGACCATTGTCATTTTATGTTCAGTTTCGGTTGGGTGCCTCGACAGTCAACAACAGCCCGAGCATGTGCTTGATTGACTTTCATTCAGGACTCTTGAGCAAGGGACCGGAGGAGCGTGCGGGGATCGTGATCACCATCTTCGAGGGAGGGACAGAGCGGGAACCCACACCACACAGGGAACCACAGGGGGAGGCGGGGATCCATGGGGTGCGGGGGAGGGGGGGGCCCTGGCAGCGCACCATTTTTTGCCAAGCCCTCGGATGCTGCTGCTAGTTCGGAGGTTTGAAGCCTTCGACACAGTCTCAAGGTTCTCCGAGTGGAGCATGGGCGCGTTCACCCTGGGCTCTTACAAGCCACACGCCTACGAGGCCGAAGGTTTCCATCTTGACGCATTGTCGGCGAGGTGTGGGCAGCAGAATGGCTTTGCTCAGGAGCCTCTGGCGTAGATCCATAGACTTCGGATTCTTCGGACTCCGTGAGTATGCGCATACAGCAGCTAATATAGGATTGCATGCTTACATACATAAGTACAGTACAGACACACATGCAATGTTTATGAACAGCTATACTTATGTATATTGTATATGCATATATGTGTACATGTACATGTTGATGTATGTGTATGTGTATATGTATATGTATATGTGTATGCATGGATGCATGGATGCATGTATGCATGTATGCATGCATGCATGGATGGATGGATGGATGGATGGATGGATGTATGCATGTATGTATGTATGTATGTATGTATGTATGCGTTGGCAGGCCTGGTCCTCGAGTCTCTTCGAGCCCACCACCGGCCGGTTCACTCCGCATGGGGCGCTCTTCGACTGAGCTTTTGCTTTCATGTTTTGGTGAGGATCTGGACGGCACTACGCCGCAGCTGCTTACTTAAGTCCTCGCCCCGAGTCGCATAGTCCCGACTGAGGCCTGAACCCGAGACTGACCTCCAGCAAAGGGTCTCAGACAGTTGGTAACTGAGACGACGCATGCATAGATTTTTGGTTTTGGAGTTTCAACTGACCAGAAGAACTTCGTAGCTGAGCTAGTAACATGTAGTCTCCTATCTTTGGGTACACGTGATCCCACCAGATTATTTTTAGAACAAGTGGCCTTGCCTTTGAGGCCTCTGAACAGCAAACTGAGTAGAACGATGTATGCCTGCATGCATGGGTGAGCATGGATGAATCTATGGATGGATGGTTTGTGTGCATATGTTGGTATATGTATGTATGTAAGTAGGTAGGTCGGTAGGTAGGCAGGCAGGCAGGCAGGCAGGCAGCCTGGTAGCCATGCCTTCACTATGCATGTATGCAATGGAAAGGAATGGAATGTAAATGTAGCGGAATGTGATATAAGGTATGAGTGCGGTATGCAGCGTATGTAATGTATGTGAGGTGCGTATTGTACGCGGTGAAGTTTATTGTAATAGTAATGTGTTATAGTGCATTCTAATGTATCTGAATGATAATGTGTTGGGCTGCATTTACAGGTACTGTAATGTAATGCAATGTGCTGCATTAATGTACTGTATTACTGCAGTGTTACGAATCAAGTCTGTAGTTTGTTTCATAACAACAAGAGCGCAGCATTCGATTACTGCAAAGCTCATCTCGGACAGTCACTCATTGAGGCGGTTCATCCACTTTTGCCGTTGCTTGGCTGCATCGATGGCCCATACGCCAGATAATGCCAGAGTATGATAAGCTTCATGGAACTGCCGTCTGCAATCGTTGCGAAAATATGCGCATTGTGTTGCGAAATGCGTGGCACCTAGACCTAGTCCCGCAGCTAGTATACAAAAGCAGTGCAATGCGACCAATGTATATACTGCGATGAGCATTTCGAAGGCAATTTTGACAACAAGTCTCTCTGCTGTTGAGCGACTTTCATCAGACAGTGGGGCAGCTCCTTGTCGTGCTTATTGCCTTTGGCTTACAAAACTGCGATTGCCATCACACATGTGTTGTCGCTGTCCTTCAAGCAGCAACAACTACGACGAAGACAACGATCTGCCAGCACAGCTGCCACTCCCTGTCCGATTCGTCCTCTTCCTTCTGACACGGCAGGGCCCCAGCAGCATGCGGGCTTTGCCAAGGTGATTCTGGCTCTAGCCTGGCACCGCCTTCTCCGTCCAAGACCCAGACAAGACGGTTCCTAAACTTGCGAGAGGTCGTGAGGTTGGGGGTGAATGCATCTGCTGACACGCGGCCGGGTGCGGCATGCTTCGGCATCCGTTAGACCGCTAGACAGAGCAGCTATATAAGCTACAAAGGTAGGAAAGGATCGGCAGATTAGTCAAACAAAATGAAGCTGCTCGCTTTTGCTTAGGTCGGTGACAGCAGCCCCACAGCAGCAAGCGGAGCCGAAGACGAAAGCCAAGATTGCCTGGCACTTTGGTACCGCTTGTTTTTAAGGTCGTCAGCTTGCAGGATTCACGGACTGGAGACACCTTTTGTCAACATGCATTGCAGATCTAGACTCCCAAACACACGACATATGCACTGTTCTTCGGAGCCTTTCAGGTGCAGGGCTTGCTTCTGCAAGGCTCGAAGAACTTAGAACAGCCCCTTCTTAGAGCTGGAATCGGCTTCCACGAGGTCCTCCCCGAAATGAAACGGTCCGGTGACAGACTTTGCACCTCCATAGATGGCTCAAAGAACTTCCCACACACCTTTGGTCTAGGTGCTTCGTCGAGCCTTTCGCTTTTGGTGCTTTGGGTTTCCATCCGCCCCCATCGCGTTTGGCAGGGCCGGTATGCTGCACACGTTCGACGGAGCTGTCCACGCGCATGGTTGGGGGGCGTTTGTAAACTCGGAATGCATCTGCAGTTGAGAGCGTCCGAGGTTCAAGGGGGAGAGTGGTAAGAGCTGCCCCCTGACTAGCTTCGGGCAGGGAAGAGCAACGTCCGTGACATTGTTGAGCGTCTTGTTTCATTGTTGTGGCTGCTATAATTATATATGATGTATAACGTCTCATAGGTGCGCTCACATCAACGTGCGGTCGCTAGCACTCATGGAAGCCCCTCTTGGCCGTGCTATGGAGACCTACATCGGCAGCATAGCAGACAAGATCCGCGATCCAGCTTGGGAATCCCAAGGCTAGCAAAAGGGCAGTCACTTTGCATCATCTGTGTCCAAACTTTCCTAGCCACTTACATTTGTCATGATCCACTCATGTACTCCAGCGTCGAAGTCAGATCATCATTGGCGAACTCCTACGTCCACTGGGTCATGGAACATAAAGTAATGAAGGCCCTGCGGTCTAGGGGTGGACCCTAAATGAGCCACCCGCACCCGCAGCGCCCTGATTTGAAGGGTCGTTCAGGGTTTCGAAGTAATTAGAGGTTTGAAAAGGACGCTCACATTGACTAGTCGCAGGTCGTTGATTTCTCTGGGTGTTGTTTCGTGTGCAAGCTTCCGGCAAAGGGTTATTTCCGACACAATCGCCGAATTGGCTGCTTGCTGACATGCATGGGGTCCATTCAGGGCCTCCAGTCGACAGGGCATAAAAGCCGCCACCCCAAGGGTCAAAGGAATTCGGTGACGATTTTCCCGGTCTTATGATGTCTTGTGAACGATGTCTACTCCCTGTCCAAGTCAGAAGCAAGCCTCCAGTTCGACTGATCAGTCGTTCTAGCGTCGGAGGCAGAAACCACCCAAAGTCTCCGAACTTGGTGATCTTGGTAGCGTTTCACAGAGAGTAGGAGGTGAAGCCTGTCTTCACAAGGACGCAACATTATCACGGCAAGCTGTTAGGCACGCTCGCAAGCATCGTCGGTCGGGAATTCCTACTAGAGATACTTTCCGCCCACAATCTTCAAGACGAGAATGCTGTTGAAGGTTCTACGGCTTCTGAAGTCAGTGCGGCTCAAGCTGCAGCCGAGGCAGGGGAATCCCAACAAAATTCGGGATAGCAATTTTGGTAATTTAGTAGTGTTCTTTAATTCAGCATTGTGCATTACTCACAGGACATGAATCATGATCGGGTTTCCCTTTCGGCGTAGCTCCGGGCATCGGGGACCTCGCAGTTCCCAGTTGCAAGCCTTATACATCACAAGGGTCAATGAGTCATGGCTTTCTAGGCACATTCATATGCCTTACCCATAGGCTCCTTAGTAGTTCCTTTTTGTGGATCACCTTACAGTATCCTATAAGGTAATCCCCAAAAAGGAACTACTATGGAGCCTATGGGTAGCTACCAGAGTCGGAAGCCCTCCGTCACCTTAGAACTTTCAAGTGGCCACTCGCCGCAGGCCAAGCAAGCAAAGCATAAGACAGACACCTAGCTTCTCGCCGCAAGTGCAAGACCTGAGAGTCGTGAGCAGTTTCGGGATTTAAGGGTTTGCAGTTGGCGTTTAGAGCATGTAAAGTTCCGGGCGAGAAGGCTGCCGCAAAAAGGGTTTACAGGCTCGTTTTTATAGTTTAGTTGCAAAAACAAGGGGTGTAGATGCTTTAGCGACGATCACGCGGAAATCGGTTCTTTATCTCTTTGTCGGCCAGAAGAGTTTCTTAATTCGACTGCAACGGGGCAGACTTTCGGGAGCTGCTTGATCATGCTCTGTATTGGCCAATGTCGGGCAGCGCCGCCTTTAAGCACAGATGAGCCCTGGAAGCCCGAAACCATCCGAAACCCTACAAAGGCATCATACACCCTTTGAACAAGTGTCGCGAAAGCAGGTGCCGATTCCAAGTCCTGGTCGTTTTGACTGGAGTGCCACTTCTGCATTTCAGCGGTCTTCAGGAGCCCGGGGGTTCCATCGATTCAAGCTTGGCGGTTTCGGTTTGCCAGAGGTCTGGCATACCCATCTAGTGGTCCAGCCGAGTACCGGACTGTGGACCGGCAGCCGCGAGAGGATTCAGGATTTGTGATCCCAGGCAGTACAGGACCCTGCGCTGAATCAGAACCCTAAACCTATATACCTGGAAACCCGGAAAAGCCCCAAACCAGGTGATGCATATGACGAGCAGCTGCAGGAAGACACCTGGCAAGGATGTGGCTCCAACAGAATCCACGGGGGGAAGCGGAATGATTTTCAGTGCCTTCAGATAGAGGGCTTAGGAATAGATCTGCAAGGCGTTTTGCGAGATCGCGGTTGGACCCTGCAAGCTCCAGCATTATTGGCGGAGATCGGCCAAGGATGTATTTCTCGGCAAGCTTGAGATCAAGAATACGTTTTACAACATCCCTGTTGCTTCCTCCATGACGGAGGCGAGCTTGGCCTCACGGAGGGATGCTCACAAGCGGAAGGTTTCTCTGAGTCCAGGGCTCACAAGCGGAAGCTTTTCAAGCATCTGTGCATTATCGTCACTTTACACTTTCTCTCCTAAATAAAGCCAAAAAAAAAACAAGGCTCTCTTCTTCTGCTTCCCTGCCAGATTCATGTCACTCCGGACACCAACTGGAAGTCGGCCCCTGCCGCCTTGGTACAGCCCCTCGGCCAGTGAAAGCCCCTTATTTGCGGATTTTCACTGTCGTAAGACTCGGGGGACTGAGAGTGTGTAGCGGGTCTTCGTGTCCCTGACGGTATGATTTTTCACAAACTGGCACCTTCGACGGGCAACATCGTGCGAGAAGGCGGTCTTGGTGCCTTGAGAGCGCACACCCAAGTCCCAAGAGTTTGAGTTGGTACAGAATGCTAGCAGCTTCCACTCCCCACCCCGCCTCCGCCCCTTAATGACGGGACCCCTGCATGCCCGAGGAAAAATTGGCGAACAAAGTTTCCCGAGATGGAGGCCAGGACCTCGCATCACTCAGCGGGCTCGTGGCTGTGATAGAAAGTGAGTCTTTACAACAGTCTGCGAGTCTGTTAGTACTTCTGGGCTTTAATTGTAAACCGACGATGAGGCCGCACACAACCGCGGTGAGTGTAAGCCTTGCGCTTACTTCCTCTACAAGACGGACGGATGCAGGAACAGCAACTGGCCTCTGATTTCTGAGTTCGCATAGGATCTGCTCGTTGAGGCATTTCCAGTTGAAGGCATCAAAGTTTGCCATCGCAAAAAAAGGTTCAGATAGAATGGAGACTCAGACATCTCGCAACACAAAGGTCCGTGAGGTCCCTAGACCTGAGGAGGTTTCTGGTCTCTGTCTTGGATTAGCTTTGTGGCCATCTACTTGTACGGGATCCAGGGCGTTGAGAGTGGTCAGCTGGATTAGTGAGTAGTGGCCTGTGCATGTTGCCAGTGTGTCGGACACCAGATGACACCAGCCACCAGCCTAAGGCGAAAACTGCCCGTACTGCCACCTGTGTCGGAAAGGGGCACCATGGTCGCAGATCAAAGCACAGTGAAGCTTCAGTCCCACAGGCGAAGCCAAGGAAGTTCCCTTTCGATCAGATGAAACGGTTTAAGTTTGCAGGTTCACCTTCAATTTGGACGGACGGGAACAAGTGCGTATAAGCTACTCAATGCTGCAACTGCAACGATATTTCGGAGCTTCCAGGGTACCCAGTGGCAGCGCATCTGGGAGTCGACCCTCTGCGAAGCCCGTGGGGAGCGGCAAATATCGAAGACCCAAACCAAATAGAATGAAACCCTCCAAGGAGATCAAACGTCGGAAGCGCCAAAGGGCGAAGCAACTGAAAGCTGCAGCGGCGTCGGAGGTGGGGTTCTGTGAGTTTCGGACTCGTTTCGAACAGTCCGGAAGCTGCTGACCCAGCTTGGAGACCTTCCAGTACACAGTGTCGTCTTCGTAAGAGCTTGCATTTCAGAAGTCTTGGTGTTGCCGTGGCGGTAGCTCAGTATAGACTGTATAGACTACACAGATGCAAGCGGAGCCGCGGCAGGCTCATCAAGCTGGTGAGTTGGACGGCTCAGACTGACCTCTGGGAGATGCGGGGCAAAGCAGCGATCGAGCTTCGGGGGTCGTTCATCTCGGGACAGCTGGTAAAGCAAAGAGATGGGTTGGACTTCGGTTTAGCAGCAGCTGCAAGTAGTTACGAATCAGCAGCATTTGCTAGCTCACTTGCTCTCTCCGCAAAATGAACTTTGGCAATTACATCCGGAAGTGTTCCCTCATCTGACATGTCGGATACTGAGATGCCTACAGGGTCAGAGCGGCATGATCTGTAGACAGGGGTGAGTCTGAAGGCTTGCCAGCAGTCTTCCAGAGTGTGCTTAATTAATTCTTTGCTGCATCATCGATCGGGGAATCTTACGGCAACCAACACCCCCTTTCCAAAGCACTGGGCACTAGTTTTTACAACTGCCCCAGTTGACAGAGGGCTCGTGGTTGCCGTAGGGCCCCTCTTTCTCAGTGTTTGCCTCCGCGTTCGCATCCTTCCCTCGCCGAGCGCCTTGAATACTTCGAGTGGTTCTCTAGTAGAAGCGGCCCTGAAATCTGCAGAGGAGTAGATTATGACGGTTCCGTGGTTATGCTCCTGAA